GGTGTCCAGGCAGCATCTGTTACCCGTTACACAACCAGCTGGATAAACCTTGCCAAGAATAACCAGGAAGGCTCTGAGTCACTCTCATTCTCCCCCAGTTACCTCCAGTTGGAGTATTTTCTCTCATAAGCCTCAGCAATCAGCCCCTCTTCCGCCGAGATCTCCTTCATCCTCCTCCAGGCCGAGCAGGTGTCGATGCGATCCACGCGCTGTCCCCAGGCGTCGAACTGCCGGAACACCGGGGGGTTCAACTCGCATTCCCATCCCAGGGGTTGGATCTTGGTTAGCAGGCGGTTTCCAAATCTCTCCAGGTCCTGATGCACCTCCTCCAGTACCTATGGAGCAACAAGAAGAGCCCTTCAGCGCAACCCTGGAAGACAGGAGCCTTGGTCCCAGCTGGAAAGGCAGAGCACTGCCCATGTTGTCCTGCAGTGCCAGTGGTCTCTTGCCACCTGGCCCTTCCGTGCATTCTGTAACACAGCACAACAACTTCTCCCTCAGCCTCTGCTGGCACAGCTGTGCTCCATTGACACTTTTTCTCTTTTTGCCCTCAAAATCATTTTTTCAAGTTACTTTTGGCAGCATGTCTGGATTTCACAAAAGGCAGAAGCGCTTTAGTATCAGGGCTGAGAATGACACAGATGCACATGAGCAGAGGGGTTGGATGAGACGGTCTCCAGAGGTTCCTCAGCCACTCCATGATTTACTGCTGGAGAAGAATGCCAGGGGAAGGGCTGCCAAAACTGGAATGCCTTCCTCTGTACAGGAAAACTTTCACTGGGCTTAGCAGTTACCTGCCTGTCAGGTTAGGAAAGGAGGGATGGAGGAATCATTTCATCCTCAGCTTGGCAGGCAACGTGTCTTGATTCAAATTCCCACCCTGTATCCAGCTTCCTACAGGACCCTGGAGAAGAATTCATGTGCCCTTGTTTCCCCTGGGCTTGGCTGACCAGAACAGAGCAGTCTGTCCACAGTTAATGGAGGGAAACCAGCACCCACCACAGAGGAGTGACTCATTCCAACTCCCTCACATTCCTGTTTCAAGGTGACAGTAATTGCCTTCTGCAAGTGCTCTTCCCTCTCTGTGGAAAACATGAGTGAAGTTGTCCAGCCTTAAATAACCTGACTTAGAGAAGATTAAAATCAGGCCAACAGGACTCAACCTCCAGCACTGTTGGACCCTCATTAGCATAAACACATCCGAGGCTGTACTGGGGGTCAGGGAAGCACCTGATTTGCTTCCATCAGAGGAGTATTGTTTGCTGTCCTCTGCCCCTCGAGAGACACTCATTCCCTCCTCAATAAAACAATTAAGGAGGTGAATACCATAGTTGCTGTACCTAAAACAGGGCAGTTATGAACCCCATTAATGTGCTGTTGATGAAATGCAAACACAGTTTCTTCCTTTCCTGCCCCCCTGTATTGACTCTCCACTGAGCTACGTCCCGTGTGATTGATTCCTTCAGCGCTCTGCTGTTCTGCACAAGTGATGAGGACCCAACACACATGGAGCTGTGTCCAGGTGCTGCTCTGGAAGTCCCCACCCTCAGACCAGCCACTTTTCCTTCAGGTGAATGGTGAAAGAGTGTTAAAAATCACAAAACAAGCCCAAACCATGCACAAGAGCCTGTCAGCTGGTCCAGCTCACACCGCAGCCCTGTTTGCCGTTGGAGCCCAGCTGGGATGGGTGTGCACCTCCAGTGCTTATCATCTGAAGGTTGTTTACAAGGCATAACCCCGGAAAACAGAGTTCATGGACTTTGCTGATCCCTGAAGCACAAGAACCTTTGAACTGCTTACCTGGTATTTTTTTGTGGGCAGAAGAGCATGAGCCTACCAGATAGATCTCTTGGTTTGAGTTCACACTACAGGGAGCTCGTCCATATTTCCTAAAAACCCTCATGCCCTGACCACACACAGCCTGACAAACCACTGACTTGCCCAATAAACAAATAAATGTGTTTATTCCCAAGGTGAAAGAACAAAATCAAAACTCCTGTGTTTGTGACTGCTGAGCATCACACACAGCAGCCTGAGTGCTCCAAAGAACAGACACTGGGATATGGAGAGGACCCCTGTAAACTATCAGGGTCAGGGCTGAGGCTGCTGGGTGATCTCCTTCACCCTAATCTGCCCCTTGATATTCCAGGCATGAATATATTGAAAATGTGCAAATTATTGCACATTAGGGGTGTGACCCTTTATAGTAAAGGACATATTTTCAGGCCAATCAACACCAGGTAGATCCTTCTTCACAACAATGCTCAGAAAAAGCAGGTACTTCGTTCTGTGTTCTCCTGAAATCACCTTCAAACAAAGGAAGAAATCTTTTGTGCCATTCCAGGAAAATTTTTGTGTTCGCCACTGAATAGTACAGGAATAAACTTCCAACGTGGTGTCTGCTTCGGTGGGACACCCAGAGCTTCGGGGGTTGCTGCTCTCCTGGCCAGGAAGGTGTTCCCACGGCGAGCCGGCTCCCAGTGCTGCAGACAGCAGCCGGGGCTCTCCCTTCCAGCAGCGAGGCAACACTGCCCCGCGGGGACCGAGAGCAGAAATGAAAGGGAGATGCTGCTCTGGGAGATTTCACAGCCGCTGTTCTCTCTTTGGGGAAGGAGTGGAGGCAGCTCTCAGCCTCGCTGAAACACAGCATTGATCCTTTTATTCTTTGGGAGACCTGGACTGTGATTCTTCCAAAGGTGCAGATTAGGAGCAGGATCTTCGCGGCTGCTCAAAGGCATCGTCCTTTCCCGTCTTCTCTTCCGGCAAGAAGGCCGTGGTGGTGCTTAGGGACGCCTCATTCCTGTCTTTAGGGATAGCTGTGACAAAAGCAAGCTCCCATTGCTCCCACCACACTCTTCTCACCCGGTGCCTGCGAGGCATCGCAGACATGGAGGGAAAGCAGAGGAGGGCAGAGCCTCACTGAAAAGCCACGTTCTTCCCCCTCTGCTCACCCAGTGGCTTTAGAGGTCATTGCAGCTTCTGCTGCGATAAATCATGGAGAGACGTCACACTCTGCTCCATGAGAACGGGTCCCTGAAAAGTGGGAAACCAATGTGGACCTTGGGGTGAGGAGAGCTGCCTCCTCCCAGGGGTTCCTCAAGGACGAGCTCACAGCACAGAAACCCACAGTTCAGGGTATCACCACACCACCTGCACCCCTGAAACCTGTACAGGGTCTTTTCTGGCTGAAAACCAACCCGGAAATGCCACTGGCCTGTGCTGAGACCAAGTAGACCCCAAGGGGCCTTTGTACCCGCTCGAGCACGCAGCTGAGAACAGCCCCATTCCTTAAGAATTTCCTTAAAATCCCCTCTTCCCACGGGAAGAGAGGTGGAAGAGCACAGCAGAGGTTGGAGGCACCTTAGTTTTTAACTTCTCTCTGAAATTCTGTTCTTCAGACAACCAGAAAACAAATAGCCACACCGATAATCCCACAACAACATTGCAACACCCAGCCCAGTCACGGGAGCCACTGAGCCACTTGCTGTTTATGTCGTGGCACTGTTTGTCACTCCTGCCCTCAAACATAATTAGTTTTAAAGAAAGCTGATAAATTCCCCCCAGTTAAATGCTCAAAGGTTCAGGGAAACATTCAATTCAGAGGCTGAAACAGCAACTGGGCGGAGCTGTGGTGGGTACACACGGAAACACAAACATGCACGCCAGACCTTGGGAGGAAGGTGAGTTTTCAAGTAACTCCGAAGCAAAGTATCCTCCAAGTACGGGTTCCCAGTCTTGGGCTGCTCTTGGAAGAGGGTCTCCGTTGGTCTCCTCACAAGGGGCATTTCCAGATCTTCTAACACTTGTTTCTGCTGCGCGCTGACCGGCTGCTCCACGGTCCTGCTGATTCCTTTAACACTCGGTGTTTGGCACCTGGCCCTGGTGCGAGGCAGAAAGTGACCCGACTGCCAGGGCAGGATGGTGGCACTGGATCTCCACCAGGGCAGGCGACGGGCAAACATGATTCAGCAGAGCCCTGAGCGTGTCACGCCAACAGCTCTCACCTACAGACCGTTCCTCACCCGACAGCAGCACCAATCCTGGCTTGTGTGAATGTTGTGAAACTGTTCTGTCTTCACTCCTCCCTCCGGAAGGAGTTTTCCTGCAGCTGTTGTCAACTGAACTAGGGAAAAGGTCTTTGGCAAGAGACCAGAAAATGGCCTAGAAAAACACAAGTACTCAGGAAATACAGTGTCCTCCCCTACTAGCTGGGCAAAGCATCATAACCGGTCAGACTGACATTTCCAGAGCTGGGGGAACTGAGAAGCGGGGGATGAGGGGATGTATTCTCACCTGAATTGCTTGGACTGATAATGGGGTAAAGATGATGAGGAGAAAATACATTTCTTTTTCTAAAAGATAACAAAATGCCTGGAAATGGGAAGAATTCGTTTAGGCAGGTTATTCTGTAAGTAAGATAGTGGGGAAATGGAGAACTCATCCTCCTTGCCTGGTCTGTGAAATAATCTGGTTCTTACAGAGTCCCTTCGAGTTGAGTTGGGACGATATTGTCTCCCTTTCCCTAGAGAAGTACCAGAATATTCTAAGAACGTGGCTTTAGTAGTTGAAAACCTGCACCTTCCTCGAGGTGATATGCTGCAAATAAACCCAGTATTTGGCTATAAAGTGATTTTAAACATACATGATACCACACGACTGTCCCTGCCATGGCTGGCCCTGCCGCTATTTCTTCTGCAGGGTCACCTTGTGTCCTGGTTTTGGCGAACGACAGGGTTAATTTTTCGCGGTAGCCGTGAGGGGGCTAAATTGGGGAATACTATCCTAAAACAAGGACACCTTGTCCTGCAGCAGGGTCAGGGACAGACACAGGGTCAGGGGCAGCGGCACACACAGACACAGGGTCAGGGTCAGACACAGGGTCAGGGACAGCGGCACACACAGACACAGGGTCAGGGACAGCGGCACACACAGACACAGGGTCAGGGTCAGACACAGGGTCAGGGACAGCGGCACACACAGACACAGGGTCAGGGACAGCGGCACACACAGACACAGGGTCAGGGGCAGGTCTCCGCCTCACGGCCGGGCCGCCCCACCCTGCCCGCCCCCAGCACCGCCCAGGCCCGAGCGTCCGGCGGCACCGCGCGAGGGGAGCCCGCGGAGCCGGGGAGGGCGGAGAAGGTACGGGAACCGCCCGGCCAGACCGGGGGAGGCGGAAAGCGCGCCTCAGGGGGACCCCCAGAGCCTCAGGGGGACCCCCAGCACCTCAAGGGTGCCTCAGTGCCTCAGGGGTCCCTCAGCACTTCAGGAGCTCCTGTGCCTCAGGGGAACCTCCCGCGCCTCAGGGGGTCCCTCCGCTCCTCGCAGGGCTCCCCAGCGCCTCAGAGGGACCTCAGATGCCCCAAGGGAACACTCGTCTGCCTCTGGGCTTGCCCCGTGCCTCAGAGGAAGCCCCCGCACCTCAGGAGTCCCTCAGTGCCTCAGGGGTCCCTCAGGGGTGCACCTCAGGGGAGTCCCAGCGTCTGAGGGGCTCCCACGCCTCGGGGCACACTCCCCTCGGCAGCTCAGGGGGTCCCTCCGCTCCTCACAGGGCTCCCCAGCACCTCAGGGGGACCCTCCTTTGTCTCTGGGGTTTCCCCCGTGCCTCGAGGGTCCCTCAGTGCCTCAGGGACAGCCCGCGCCTCAGCACGCGGCTCCTCCCGCCCCCCAGGGAGTCCCTCCGGAGCCATCCCTCCGCTCTTCACAGGGCTCCCCAGTGCCTCAGGGGAACCCCCCGCACCTCAGGGGGACCCCAGGTGCCTCAGGGGGACCCTCCTCTGCCTCTGGGGCTTCCCCCGCTCTTCAGAGGGATTCTGGCGCCTCAGGGGGTCACTGCCCTCCCACGCCTCAGGGGTCCCTCAGTGCCTCAGGGGTCCCCCGGCGCCTCAGGGGTCCCTCAGTGTCTCAGGGGTCCCTCGGTGTCTCAGGGGTCCCCCAGCGCCTCAGGGGTCCCTCGGTGTCTCAGGGGTCCCCCAGCGCCTCAGGGGTCCCTCGGTGCCTCAGGGGTCTCCTGCGCTTCAGCCCCACCGCCTCTTCCCTCCCCCGTGCCTCAGGGGGACCCCCAGCCCCTCAGAGGTGCCTCAGCCCCCCGCGCCTCAGGGACCCCCAGTGCCTCATGGCGGCATCAGGCGCTGCCGTGCGAGGGGCAGGACCTGGCCCCATATGGGGCCCAGCCACTCCAAAAAAAACCCCAGAGACACCCCCAAAATAGACTTTTAACCCCATCTTTGGAGCCATGGCATCTTTTAGGGGCTGTGATGCCTCACATCTCCAACATCCGGCATGAGGGGCAGGGCTGGGGGGGTGCAGGGCTGAGGGGGCAAAGTCCCGCAAGGATGGGGTTTCCTGAGGGTGAGGGTTGGTGTTTCCCATTTAATATTAATTTCCTGGTATTTGGTGATAAAGTGGCTGCCAAGTGGTTGAGCATTGGAGTTCCAGGGCACCTTCTGTCCCCTCCAGCCCAGGTAAGATACTGATGCTGAAGTCTTGTACCTGAACAGCCAGGCTGAAGTGAATCATCTCAGTCTAGGTGATGTTTCCTCTGCAGTAAATCAATATTAAGTGTGGTATGGTTTAGAAAACATGTTTTCTTATGTCTTTGTTTCACTTAAATCAGCTCTATTTAGCTAATAACCCTCGTAATAACACCTTTGTCTGCCTTGATTGCATTCCAGTCCTGCTCGCAGTTACTTTTAGCTACTTTGCTAAAATATTTAACACATTAAAAATTTTGCAGGTGTGTATTTGTTTAAATATACTTTTATAGCCATAATCTGTCCTCATTACTAATTGAAGCGCTAAATTTGGCATAAAAGCTGTCACCGTGTTCCAATCAACATGTCTTAATGACTGCCAACAAATGGAAATGAGGCTTCCATGGGAAAAAAGCACAAAAGGTACAAATGCAGAACAGGGTTTGATCAGCTGAGTTAATAAAAGCCCGCTGCTGGCTGCATTAGGTCAGGATTTAAATCAACCCCCAGTGTTTGTGCTATTATTTTAATTGTTACTGGGAATATCGACTGGCTGTGGACTCTGGCTACCTGTTGGTGGTGTTTCCTGTCATTAACATCCCCTGTTAATAACGAGATGTGGAGATCTCCCAGTGAGTCATTTTTCAAACCAGTAAACGCGTGCCTTGTTAATTCCAGCTAATGGAAGGTTTTAATCAGGGTGTCAGGTGGTGCTAAATCAAGCTCCTCACCCGAGTGCGAAATGTGGAATGTCCACATTATTGCCTGTATCAATCAGCTCCCCATTCCTGTAAAAAGAATATTTTCCTCTTCAATCCAGGCTTGTCTAACAGGCTTTCACTGAAACAATTTGGACTTCTCTCTTTTTTTTTTTCCCCCTTTTTTTTTCTCCTTTCAAGGTGTCCCAGAAGACTCATTTCTTTATTCCAGCCAACACTGATGTTAGTGCTTTTCCTGCTTACCCTTGCTAAAATATTACCTACTATTGGCAGGCCTCCAGTTCTTTCACATTCCCCCTTCACAGTTTTTAATGGTTGTGGGAATTAACATTTGTGGTTTGGAATATGAGAAATGCATTTTGAAGTGACTGACACCAAGTGCAGTCGTGGCCCTGAATTTCAAACACTATCGATCGTTTGCCAGTGAACGGGGAGTTTTCATGCCATGGAGTATCCTTGGCTTGCTTTGCTTTAGCTGTCCTGGCTGGCAGTTAGCTTTCAGACCTGAATAACCTGAAGAATCTCATTCTTAGTTTAAGAAATATGAGAAACAGCAAAAACTGTTTTTTTCCGGGTGTCTCATATCTTCTTTATTTTTCAGCATTTAGTTACAAGTGGAAGGCAGGTCTTTGAAATACAGGATGGCTACTCAGCAGCTAGTCAGGCAAAAGAAGAAGTCCTCTAAGGTAAAACCTTTAATTATGATGGCACTGACAACCTTAGCTCTCCGTTTGGGACCTGGCACGCCTGTGCCTGTGGAGGGAGGTGGGAACACTTTCTGCTGTCTGCACTGTTCTTAGTTGGATTATTTCCAATTCAGTGAGAAACAGCGTGGGGCTCTGCCGTGGTTTGACTCAATAAATGTAGGCTCATTAGGTGTGCACTGAGCTTTATTAGCAGGAAGAACAGCAATAAACTAATAAAAGAACTTAATTTAGTGTAGTGTCCGCTGCATTGTTCATGTTGACATCACACAGTGTGCATTTACAGTAGCTCCAGGTGCAGCCATGTGCTGTTTACAGCCCGGAGTTAAAATCACTCTGAAGCCTGGGGGTGTGCAGTGCTGGCAGCTCAGGCTGCTGTCAGAGCTCCCAGACAGCTGTGGCAGCAGCCTTTGGTACAGCAGTGAGTGCCACACCAGCCCTGGCACTTGGGTGACTCTGCAATTACAACTACACACTTTCTTCTGGGGGTGGTTGTCTGGTGAGTGCCAGCATTGGTGCAGTGGAAGGGGTGAGAATGTGATAAAGGGGAAGGTATGTCCAGCCAGTGCAGTCTGCACCTGAACAATGATCTGTTGATCACTATCCTAAAAACATTTAATCCCACCCACCTTAGGCACGATTCTTCCCTGTGCAGCTTAAAAGACCAGAGAAATGTTAAAATTACATTTTTAAGTTACCCTCTCTCCACCTGTTGTGAGTTGTTTCTAAATACAGTCCCTGTTTTCACTACCACGGTGCTATTTTGGCCTTGCCCTCCTCTTGCAGGAAGCAGTGCTGTTCCCTGATGCCATGGCCACGGAGCCGCAGTCTCTGGTGCTGGTGAAGAGGCTCCTGGCTGTCTCCGTGTCCTGTATCACCTACATGAGGGGGCTGTTCCCAGAGAGCTCCTACGGAACCCGCTACTTAGATGGTAACACTGTTTGTGCTGCATTCTTATTTCTGCTCACTCTCTTTTAGCTGTAATCTGCTTCATGTGTTGGCTTCTGGCTGCACATGTCTGAGTTCAGTTTGTTAGGGAGCTGGCCACAGGCCTTCTCAAGTCTGGGTGGAGACAGCTTCTGAGAGAGAGCACGGAAGACAGCCTAGAACTCCTGGCTTTTCTGTCAGTGTTTCTCTTGGTTTGAAGTCATTCCTTGGCATTACCAGCCCTACGAGTGGGTGACACAGGAGAGTGACTTAAAAATCAGAATTTTAAAAAAAATTAACTCTGATTATTGTGTTTTATTTTCCTTTGGATTTTTGAGCCCTCAAGGTTCACATTGAGATTCTCTTGTGAGATTGAAAGTGCATTTTCCACCTTGAATGCCTGGAAACACAGTAGAAGGAACTGTGTGGAAAATCTTAACAGAAGTAGTTTATTCTGAGCACAGTCATTTACCTCATACGGATGTTGGTGGAGTCTGAATGCAGAAGGGAAGGTGTTGTTAGGGAATGGTGGGATAGGATGGAATGGAGAAGAGGAGGGAGGAGAGGATGAAGCTGCTGGTGTTTTGAAATTGAGCTGTAACTTCAGCTCTTCTTCCGGGAGAGCCCTCAGAGCTGAGGAGAGCTCTGACATTTGCAAATGCAGCAATGAGCTTGTGTCAGCCCACCTGGGACTCAGTGGAAACCCAACATTTCCGCTCAGGAAGGACCTCCAGATAAAGCACTTTATCCAAAAAAGGGGGGGTGACTGGCTTAGTTTCAGTGTTTGCCCAGGAGCCGTGATAAGGATTATAACTACGTGCTAAATCTGGTTTTGCAGACCTGTGTCTAAAAATTCTCCGTGAAGATAAAAGCTGTCTGGGATCATTGCAGATAGTCAAGTGGTAAGTGAGTAACAGTGAAACCAAGACAAGATTGTGCTGAGCACGGAGACATCTGCCCCTGCATTCTTCTTCTTCCTGAATTGGAAAACATCGTGCCCGGTCGCGCTGCCGGTGCCAGGGGAGCTCCCACTGCTGCGGGGGGTGCTTGGCCCTGCGTAAGCAGGACAGAATTAGCTGACCCAGATCATGTGAGTTCAAGGTCTGTGGAAGTGTTGGCTGCAGTGAGGTCATGGTCAGGCCCCAGAGCACACGCAGCAGTGGAGGTACAGAGAGAGGGTTAAGACAGTCATGAGATCGATCCTGTTGTTGTTTAGTCTTTTCTGGTTTCACTTTGATAGGGATTCTTGCACTTGTTTTTCAGTATGTGCAGTATTTTTTTCCTATAAGTACCCCCCAGGTTTTCTTCAAGATGTGTTCAAGAGTTGGCACGTTCCCAGCAAGCAGAAAAACTGACTTTGATGTGCTAAGGAGATACCTCACTGCACATCCTTTCACTCCAAGACCAAATATCTGGCTATTGCTGCTTCAAATAATATTTACTGCTTTGAGAAAATCCATTGCTGTAAACTATGCATCAGATAACAAAGATTTACAAGACCATACATGTTCAGATTCAGCCAAGCTCTGTACAAGGCTGATGGGAAAAGAGCCATCAGAGCTCTGGCTGGGGAGCTGGAACAGAGCACTGAGCAGGGAGCCACTTTGGCCTCCAATCCCTGTCTTTGTCAGGATTCAAGTGGGCTCTGGTCTGACAGGATAATACCCCAGAAGTATAAACAGTGCACAAATGCAGAAGGAAGGACAGTGCCTTCAGGGCTGACCCGAAAAGGACTGTGCAAGCCCCAAATGTTGTTAGTTGTGTTGTCCTAATCCCAGGAAAAAATGCCCTTTAACCCGTATCTAATGAGCGTGTGTTTACAGATCAGGAGATAAATACTGCTGGTTAGTATTAACATGTTTTTTCCCTGGCAGGATTCAAGGTTGTTTTGATGCTTTGGAGAAGCAGTATGTAAGTTTTTCTTCCCATTTTTTGCTGGAGTTTTCTATTTCTTCGTAAAGTACGGACAAAACTCTTTCCGTTTCTGCTGTATTTCTGTTGCAGTCTCTCATGCACACAACACATCTTTATGGCCACGGGACAGGGGGGAGACCCCGCCCTGAGTATGAGATTTGGGATTTTATGCCTTGAGCCCAAATATTGACCACTGTTGCTGTCTAGGCTCATCTGTCCATGGTGTGGGAACTAATTTGCAGCTTGCAATGGATTTCCCTCAGTTCTGTGCTCTACATTTGTGTTCTCTGATGTCTGATAGAGGCACTGCCAGGCAGAGATGAGGTCTTGATCTCCTGCCCTGTTTTCTTGACAGAGGTTCTGTGCTTCTGCTCTCCTTCATCTCCTTTCCCCTTCTGCTCATCTTCTCTAACCCTCCTGGCTTTTTTCTTGGGTTCAGAATTTACTACTTTTTTGGGGAAAGTAATTAATCCAGTGAGGTGCGCAACTGGTTCCAGGACAAAACCAGTAGCAAGAAATCATATTCCTTGCTGATTCTCACATAAAAACTGCTCTGCACAGGAAAAAGCACCAGCTGCTGTCATCTCTGTCAGCAGTGTTCATCAGCACAGCTCCTCCAGCTCGGATGGAGTGCTGGTGGTTGTGGCACTGATGATCTGATGGGCTCTGAGACGTCAGTACAACTGTCAGCGTGCACAGGATAATTCACAACGTTGTGAACGCAGTGTAGTGCTTGCTGACAGCTCTAGGAGGTCCTTTGCTATTTATGAGACATAAATTAATTGTTGTTTGACAAGGATTAGGGAAAACCTGAGGTTTTTAATGGGTATTTTCAGATTGTTTTCAAGAGCAGTCCCATGTACGTTTCCTTGCTGTAGCATAAATACCTTTGGAGAGCTTCACAGAGGAGAGCAAATATTAGTCTTCAGTGGGGATAGGTGCTCTTGCAAAAGGGTTTTAAATCAGCACAGCCTTTGGGGATTTGTTTAAAAGGAGCCCCATGGGAGCAGGCTGAGCACGGAGCTGTTTTTTGGGGAACTGCAAGTAAAGCCAGACAAACTGGCCACTAGGTGTTGCTGATGCCGTGCTGGGAAGAATCTGCAAAACGGGTTTTAACTCCTCGTTCGTTGAGTGTATCTATTCCTTTGCCCTGTGTAGGCAGTTAGGTTTTGATAGACTTGCTTTTCTTTGCCCGCTGAGGTTAGATTTTCATTATGTGTTTTGTTTTACTTTTCTCTCCTCAGCTACGCATCGCCGTCCTTGCAGTAAGTAGATGAATACAAAGTAGTTTTCTTTCCCCTCCCCTGCTTGAAAGAGATACAGAGTCAAGGTTGTGTCAAACCATTTGTGCCTTTTTTAAGGAGAAACCAGAATGTGTACGACCTTTATCAAATATGGAAAATGTAAAGTTTAAGGCTGCATGGGGATGTTTTTCTCAGCATGTCACACTCCTGACTGAGGCCTCACATGCATCCTTAGACTCTGAGAAGCACTTTCATGTGATTCCTATCATGGAAGGTGCTCTTCCTTTCCCCCTGCAGAAGTGTCCTTATTAATCTGCTCCTGGACACACCACACACTGGTGGTTCCAAGACAGCCATTGACCCTGGCCCTCTGTAAAGCTCCAGGAGCTTTGCTTTGCCTCTACTCTGTGCATCCTCTGAGCAGTTAAATCTCAGTCAGTAGTTCCCTGTGAGGGTTGGAATGGGAATTAGCCTCATTCCTCCACAATTGCACATCAGTTGTCTTCTACCTGTCTTTGAAGTGGTAAGTATTGCCTGCTGATAGAGGAAAGCTGTTTCTCAGCCATTCCTTTCTCTGATCCCACGCTAAAGATAGTCCAGTCTCTGCTGTAAACTGAAAATATCATTGTTAGTCACTGGTTCAAGTTGTCCCGGGGAGAATGCCCTCACTGTGCTTTCTTGTAACAGATTTACACCAATCCCAAGGAACCGGAGGTAAGAAAGAGTCTTAATTAATCTTTGAGGCAACTGCAGCCATGGGTGAGTAGATCTGTATTCAGAATGGAGTCGTGGGCTGAAGTTCCACCCTGACGTAGCTGCTCGGTGACCTCGTTTCTGTCCTTGTGCCTTCACTCCAGAGTGCCAGCTCAGTGAGCTGGATGGGGATCAAACACCAGGCACCAGGCTGTGGGCCCACCAGGGCCTCAGGCAGGGGTGTCAGCAGGCAACTAATGGCCATGTTTGCCCTTTTGGTTTAGTTTCCCAAAGAGAAAAAATGAGAAGTTCAAAATAATTCATTTACGAACCACCTTTTTAACAGCCCTGGTGAAAAGAGCCGTGTTGTCGTGCAGAGAGGTGTAGGACAGAAGTCAGGAATCCCTTCAGACCTGGATGGATGTGCTGTGTACTGCCTGTCCTTGTCCTTTTGATGTTCCCTGTTGCGTTTCTGTTTTGTTACATCTGTCTGGGGCATAGAGACTGGGGGCTGTGATCCCTAGTGAGGGTCTGCATCCATGCTGGAGACTGGAGAACAGCTGTAGCCTCTTTGCACCTGAACCTGGTTCCAGTTCTGCTGTGTGTCACCTCAGCATCTGGGGACAGAGCAGGAGTTTAGTTGTGCCAAGGCTGGGATTTGTAAGGAAGGCTCAGACTTAAAAGCACAGCTGAGCTCCTACTAATCAACCTCGTTGTCTCTGGAAAAAGTGAATTATAGGCATGGAATTGGTCTACAATAGATCCTTTCTCCTGGGGGGGAAGCTGTCTGTTCTTCCTAATTGTTTTATTCTTTAATCCTTTTAAATGGAAAATCATTTTGTTTTTTTGTCTCCCTCAAAAAAAACCTCTGAGACTGGTGAAATTCAGCAACTGTTTCCCATGCAATATTGTTTGAATTTCCTTATGGGAAGAGTCCTCCTCTCCATAGAGACCTTTGTGTCCCTACAGAGCACTGGGCCAGGCTTCCTTATGACACTGATCACCCGTGCAGCTCCCAGTTTTCCTTAACAAGGAGGGTTGGCTGGTCCTGGAGCCTCACTAGAGACTGAGGCTGGGGAGTCAGGCCCACAGAGGAAGTGGAAGGAGGAAGCAGGAAGTTTGTAATTTTGTTGTGATTCTTTCAGTGCTAGGTGAGATGTGGTTGTTAAGAAAATTTGCCAAAGCCCGTGCAAGCAATAATGGAGTTAAAGTTGTCATCATGTCACTAAGTTATGCTGTGCCCTGGCAGAGAGTGTGAAAGGACTCGGCCGAGCTCAGGACACATCTTTACACTTGTACTCAAAGTGACCCATTTTTGCTTTTCCCCTCTCTTGTTACCTCTCTAGGTAGTGACTGAACTGTACGAATTCAAATTCAAGTACAAAAAGAAGGTGCCACAGATGGACATCAGCAGGTAAAGGTTTGGGTTGGTTTCTCAGGGATACACTGAAAACTGGTTATGAAGCATTAAAAAGCCACACTTTATGATTGCCCAGAGAAGCTGTGGACTCCCCATCCCTGGAAGTGTCCAAGGCCAGGCTGGATAAACTTGGAGCAACCTGGTCTAGTGGAAGGTGTCCCTGCCCATGGCAGAGGGTGGGGAGGAGCTGAGCTTTAAGGTCCCTTCCAACCCAAACCATCCTGTGGTTCTGTGGTTTGAGCATGTCCAAGTTGCTGAGCAGCTGTAAATACCCTCAGAGCTGAGGATATTCACCCTGCAGGGTACGACCTGCTGGGAGGAGGAGTCGAAATGAGGTTATGTAGCATCATGAGGCCCTCAAAGGGCACCCGAGCTGAGCTCAGGACAGTTGGTAGCAGCGGTGCCTCATCAGGGGGGTGATGCAGAAACCAGCACAGTTCCTGAGCTTGCTGCTGTCTCAACTGATTCTTCCATTTTTACCACACAGTCTTGTGCTTTCAAAAGGTTTGATCCCTTTTTTTCCCCCATGATCCTGCACCCAGGGTTTTTTCCCTTGGACATTTGCATACATGTCTTCTGCTTGAGCAGCCCTGCGTGGGTGACCCGAGAGAACTTTCGCTTATGATGCCTGAGTTGATGGTGCAAAACGTGTGGCAGGAAGCAGCAGCTTTTTTGCCTCTTTTTGGCACTCTCTGTTAGATATTTAAAGCTGTGCTTAGTAGGCCACAATCCTGTGGAGTTTCAAATAAATACTATCAAAGGCTGTTGGCTGCAACCAAAGCAAAAAAAAGAAAAAAACAATTGACCTGTTTTCAGTTTATTCTGCAGTTGCCATTGGTGAAATCTTTGGGCCTGGAAACCTGCCTGTACAGCAAGAGAGCTCTGTCTTGTGTGCTCCTCAGGAAGCTTCTCCTGGAGTCTGCCTTTAGCTGCTCTCTCTCAAAACACATCCAAATAATTTCTAGTATAAGGCAAAATGATCTTCTACTGGCAGAATCTGAATTATCTCAGTGTGGAGTGTCCTGCTGGCTGTGCCCTCTGTTTCTGCTCTGAAGCTCCATTGTCCTCACTACACTGAGGGGAAGAGGAGATTTGGGATTTGAAAGATAATAGATGGCCCTTGAGTACTTTGGGTTTTAATCACCCTTGCTCATTAGTTCCCAGAGATAAGGACAGTCCCCAAATGGAGCTTGGCATCCCTCGGAGTCCATCTTGCTGGCCAGGGAATCTTGGTGTTATGTTTGTATGTGCTCTGAGGCTCCAGAGCCCAGGGCACCAGATTCCTGGGCTCTGCTGTGCTTCCTCAGGGACTGGCAGTGCCCTGGCAGGCTCCTGCATGTCCCTGCAGTCCTTAGTAATCTGATGTTCTGGCACGGACCAGAGAATTGTGTCATCTTTGCTGTCAGCTCCCTCGGCTGATAACGCTGCCTTTTACACCTGCACTGCTTGTTGTCATGTGCAAACTTGGAGTTAATAATTCCAGGAGAGAGGTTTTGTGGGTTTGCATCATCACATCCGAGGGATAAGGGGAAATGTTCCCCTAAATGGTCTTTGCTTTATTTTATGTGGATTTTAGAGGAATTCTTGCCATAGATCCCAGTCCTTCCAAGGTTCAGTTCCTTCTTCTTCTTGACACACTCCTGCATCAAATTCACAGTGTTATTCCTGTATTGAATCAGTCCTTGACCTGTTAATTCCTATGGAAGTCTCATTTCTTTTTTTCTTGTGATCTTTCCCCTTGCCATTTCTGATCTGCTAATCCCACAGCTTGTAAAGGTGATGGATATTCCACCTTAGGCACTGCCAGCATTTCCCTCTCACTTGCTGTACATTCCTGAACATACAGGATTTAATCTAAGACCACAGTGCACATCTAATACCTCAGAGTTTTGCTGTTGGCAATTCAGAGTCTGCCAAACCGTCCCCTGCATCTGTCAGCAGTTTGACTTCATGATCTTAGAGGTCTTTTCCAACCTAAATGATCCTATGATTCCATACTCTGGGAAGTCAAGCCGCTGTGTTTTCATGACGAGCCAAGAAGCTTCAGCTGGAAGGGGGAATGTGTCTTAATGAAGCTGTTCTTTGCTGTGGTTCAGTCAGATTCAGCCCCGGGACCCTCTGCTCTCTTGGGTCTGCTTTTGAAGCGGTTTGGGGGTTTGCCCTAGGGACCATCCTGTGTATGGGGCCACCCACCCATGTCAGGGGTCTTCCCAAAGACGTAGTGAAGGAACCACGTAGTTTTATGGCCCCTTCTCATTGAAAGTTAGGGAAGTTCAGGTCCCTTAGTCACACAGTGATTCATCTGGGCCATCTAAAGTTGGTTATCTCATCTACCTCTATAGTCAAGAGAAACAAACTCCTCCAGATTGCGATTCATCCCACTCGTGTCACCCGTGGGTCTCAGTCTAGACTGTTTGCTTAGCCCAGCCAGCTGACATTTGGATGGCTGAAGGAGGGGAGAGGAATGCCCCTTCGTCACTGCTGAAAAATGTGCTTCTGAGCTCGTTTTTCTTGCATGGAATTGAGGGAGAACATGCGATTCGCCTCTCTTCAAACTGCAAAATGGACTTGAAAATAGCCCCTGTGATGAATCGGCTTTAGATTGGATTCCCAGCTCATTCCTCTCATTCCTGAAATTGCTTAGGTGAAAGGCACTTGTTTTATGGGCCTTTGATCCAATTTAATCATGTTCAAACAAGTGACTCATGACATTTGTATAATGGGGTCTGTTGCCCCAGCTCCGAAGTCTGTTCAAATGTAAATGCCAAGCCTTTGAGTCCAGAGCGGGTGTTCTGAGGATGCCACCCCATCCCTGGAGCCTGTTTCACTTCCCTGTTTAGCTGGAAATGACATAAAGACATTGTAGCTTTGTCACTAGTGGTTTCAGACGAGTCAGTGGGTGCTCTGTATGTGTAATTAGATCGTGAATATTCATGACTGAGGATAACAAATCTGTTATTCTTCTTCTGGTTGTAGCAACCACAGGGAGTTTGTGACTGGGCTGTGCAGTGAGGACATCAAACAGGCCAGCAGGCTCCTGCTCCGTAAGCTCTACCTGCTCATGCAGAACCTGGGGCCACTGCCCAATGACATCACCCTCACCATGAAACTCCTCTACTACAACGATGGTAGGTGGGGCAAAATTCCCTTTCCATCAGTTTCTGTAAGAAACGAGCCTTGTAAAGTAATTGAAGCACAAAAAGTTGAGATGGGAGCTCTTGGCTGATAACAGTGAGAAATGGTGTAACACAGTAAGTCTTTCTGAGGCACAGGGATGGCAGATGCTTTTTGGGAAAGGTGTCCATGTAAGAAGTACAGCCATGCAGTGTAAAAGGAAGACATCCCTCTTCCCTGGGTTTTTTTGGGGGGGAGGTTGTTTTTTTAAGGAACAGGCGCTGTCAGGTTCTGCTCCAGAAACTGAGCACTTAAGTGGTATCTCAGCATCCTAAAGTCATTCTTTCTCTGAGCTCCCCGATAACATTTGCTCAGCTCATTTTCCCCTTTGCATTCTCTCCCTTCCTCCTGAAAAAAACCAGAATATTTTTAGTAGTTGATGCTACTCGAGGCTGGTTCACACTTGTTATTTCTGAATCAGATTTGGGAGAGCTGGAACGCAGTTTCTCTGACCCCAGTGGGTTCCCTCTCCCTGTGCAGTCACTCCCAAAGATTACCAGCCCCCCGGCTTTAAGGAAGATGCCAGCCCTGGTGACCTGCTGTTTGGAGGGGATCCTGTCAACCTGAGAGTGGGCTCAGTCTCCACCGACTTCCACCTCATGAAAGTGAGAGTGATGACTGAGAAGAAGAGGGTGAGGAAGGCTCACAGCAAGCTGATCCAGAAGAGAAGCCCTACTGAGATCTCCCACCAAGGGTTAGACTGTGAGGAGGAGGAAGAGGAGGGGAGCACCAAGGTATAGAAATAGCTCTGTTTGGTTCTCACTGCAGGAACGGAGTTTATTTAGCAAAACCCTCCTTAAAAGAAACATTTTGGGGTTTATGGATTTACCACCTGGCCATATTTTTTAGACTATGCTATTAAAGCAACACATCACTTGCTTTACAGAATCACCCTCTCCCTGTCAGCGTAGATTCAAGTGAGCATGAAGGGAACAAAAATAACACCCCCCCAGGCAGGAAAGTGGAAGCACCTTCTTTGTGCCTTCAAGATACAGGTAAATGTCCAGTTTTGAAACTAAAGGGGCTTCTGCTCCTGACTGTGTCCCAACATAATATTTGGGTTTTCTCACTCACGTTGAAATGGATAAACCGAGTTTGTTTGAATTTTGTGTCAGATCAGCCTGAACTATACTGAAGGTCTTGTGTAGGCTTGGTTTGTTAACAGAAACATTTAATTTTGTATCAGTGTCTTTCCACCTCTTTATCTCAGCAGTTTCTTTCAGATATGGAGGAAATGCTCAGATCATCAAAACTGTGTTACATTATCTCCATGTTCCCCAAAGCTCTTTAGCTGTTACAGTTTGATTTTTGCTAATAACTTCCATACATGAAAATACATGAAAGAAAAGCCTCTTCTCTCCCTTCAAGTATCCCAGCCTCTGATACACCACGCTGTGTTTGACCTTTGAGGCTCTGGGATATAGCCTGTGGAACAATACCATCTAGTGACAAAATGGTAAATAGCATTCCTGGGATGGCCGGGCAGCAGGATAAAGCAGCTTCTCTGCCTGTGGAGTCACCTTTGCAGGTCTTTCTCCTGCGGGTTCTCCAACGACTAATAACAACTCATCCTGCCACCTTTGGCACTCTGGGGATATGAACAAGATCCTCCTCCTCTAACAGTTGCCTGTTCTCATGAAACTGAGGCGCTTTGGAGGCCCCCTCAAATTTTATTGAAACTGTCTAAAAGGTTAATAATTAGTACCCAGGGAAGATCTCCCCTCCTTTCCCCCACCCCTCACACTTAGAACTCATGCTCTAAGTTTGTTGCATAAGCTTTGTTTTCTTAGAAACCAGGTTAAAATGCAGTTTAAGTATAATTGATAGAGGTGCTGCAAGCTGATGTGATGCATGTTCAGATGACAATTCTGACACCTTTCTGGGAATAAACTGCCAGTGCTGGCAGTTCCTGGGAGCAAAGGTTACACAATTTCATGGAATTTTGCCCCAGTGGTTTAGTCAGGCTTCTGGATTGTTTGTTTGGTTTTTTTCTCCAGTTAAGCTCTTTAAGCTAATTTTGCTTTGCTGTTTGGATTGCAGGTAGAAAGAAGAAGGCAGGAATAAAAGAGACAGGCAGGATGCCTTGCTCAAGGGCATCCCAGCAGGTGAGGAAACTTTAGTGGTTCCAAGATATAGCAGGCATGGTGGAATTCATTGCCAGGGGTCATTGTGTCATTGAGGATGCCACGAGATTCACTAACATTAGTGGATTTATGGTGCAGGATCACAGTACATAGAGGCTACAGAGCGTTGGGCCAGAGGGATATAAACATGAAGTGGGAAGAAGCTTTCCATGATCAGCTTATTTCATACATCCAGTACCAGAAATGGGTTCTGTTCCCTGGAGTTGGCACCTGTGAATTACAACACAGACTAAACCCATCCCTGTCCCAGCCACGCTGCTTTACCTGTGTGTGGGTTTGGGTGAAGGATCTGAAGTCACCACCCTATTTTAGGTTTGTCTGTTGCCCTACATGGTCTTCACCTCTCCTGTCTTGCTTCCAGACTGTCTTTACCTGTGAGTCACAAGTACTTACTGAATCCTATCCCTTTTTGGCTACCTCTCTGAGATAGGAAGAATTATCCCCTGGGGGTACTGGTCTCTCTTTTGGTGGTTGTTGGGGCAACCCAAAGAACTGGGGTAGACCAGACATGTCATCTTAGATAAGTGATGTCAAGTTAATCCCATCCTGAGGGCTGCCCAGGCCAAACCCTGAGTCACAATCAGAGCCCGAATTCACGGGCATGTGCAGAGGTTTTCTCAGTGACAGGGCAAATCTCTGAATGCCACCAGCCTTGCTGCTTGATCCTTCTCCCATTCAAATTAGTTGAGAATCATGTGAGCTTGAATGGTCAGAAACTGCATCTTTACAGGGTAAGTTAACGAGAGTAGGAAATTGCTACTAAAATTTTCCCCGCCTCTGTTGAAAAGAATCCCGGGGTGTCTAACCCAGACAGCAACTGCAGACTGCACTCACCGTGTCATTCTAAAGGCATCTGCGAGGTATTTGCCTTGACTCTGGATCTTAGAAATGAACTTCTGTGCCTAGGCTGGTATTTTTCAAACTTTAACCACATTTTTTTTTTGTGTCACATCCTCCGGTTTCCTTCTCATCATTGTTTATTTTGTCGTCTGTGTGAAAACAGGAGCCTTTTTTGTTTGTAGCTCATGGTTGTCCCACTGATTCATGCTCTGACCTTCTTTTGGGGCTGTCACGATGGTAAGCAGAGGACCAGACACTTCTCTCTCTCACTCTCAGCATGTGAATGTCATTAAAATTCGGTAGCAGGAGTGAGAGTGTCTGAAGGTGGTGGAAACAGCATTAGTTGCTGAAAAATGGAAGAATCACTTTATCCATCGTATGCTTCCAAAGACTTTTAAAAAAAATTAATCCCAAGCCCTCTGCCTGGTAGATTCTGCGTGGGAGAGGGTTTTCTTAATGTATTCTTTGATACTATTTTTAAAACCTCATTACTTCGAAGCTGGCTAATATTTCACTGGGTTTAGGGAAAAACAAAGTCAAGGCAGTAGTTAGAATCATCACTGTAAAACCTGTGCTAATAAAAATTTGACACTCTTTTCCATATGAGAGGGACTTTCCCTTCTTTTCTGAAGGAAGTGGTTAAAACAAATGACCATTGTGTATTCCACTTGAATCAGGAAGCCAAGCTGACGAGTGAAGTTTGTCTTAAAAAACGAGGAGAAGCTTGGCTGGGTGGGAAGTCTGAGTTAGGTGTTATCTGACAGGGTCAAGTACAGGTAAGATGGGTTGGAACAGACCTGTTGGGCTGTGAGTGTGAACACCTTGTTGCTGCCCAGACACTATTAATAGTGTTTTCCAGCTGTTGGGTTGGGGTGTGAATGCCAAAATTTTCCAAACTCACCAAAACAATTTGGAGTGTCCCAGAAATAGCTGTCTGCACAAGGGTTTGATATTCAAGAAGTTCTGAGTTCGAAACCGTTACCCACAGTCACAAGTTGCTTCTGGAAATGTGGGTGAGCACATTTCTGCCCTTCATCTGGAGTGAATCCTTCTGATTCCTTGGTTACCAAAAATAAAAACTGTGCTGTTGGAATTGAGTTTATTGGTCACTACCTTCCTGACCTATAGCTCTTCAGGAAAACCAGGAATGAAAGTATTAAAGGCTTATTTTTATCTAATCGACATGGGAGAGGCGGAGGATGCGGATCTGCCAAAAGAGGAGCAGCTCTTCCTGCCCAGTGAGAACTGGAACTGGACTTTGGGAATGGCCACGGAGAGTCTCTGACAGGGCTTTGCAGATTGGGGAAAAATTTCCATGTACTCCACTGGCTTGTTATCTGCAATCTCATGATTGATGATCCTCGAGATCAAATGAGAGATTGCCCTTTTCCAGCAGAGCATCTCTGTGCTTAATCATCCAGAGTTAGACACCAGCATGTAAATTAGCCCACCTCTGCTGGCTTCAAGAGTGATTGCATCAGCCAAGGATTTGTCCCCCCCGTGTTATGTTTGTGCATCTTCCTACTTTTCATTGGAATTCTAGGAGTTGGGAAGAGTTGGGGAAAATAGGGAATTGCTGCCCATTGGTTTAACTTGTAGAAATCTGCTGATGAGAGTGAGGTCCTGCACTGACTTGGAATAACTTCTTGAGTTCTTCAGCAAACTCCTTTATCCTCTTGTGAATCCTTTAATGTTCTTGTCCTGAAAATTGGTTTTGGTCAGCTTTGTCTTCATGTAAGCAAACATGCTGCAGTGGAATGAGTTTGGAAGGAAACAGAACTAGAAGATGAGTAAAATCTGACCATGTGAACGCCTCTGCAGGCTTTTATCTCCCATCAGGAAGCTGTGGGCTGAAGTTCTGGGGTGGTCCTTGGAGCACAGCGAGGCAGCCGTGCAGGGAGCCTTGGATCGCCCTGCGCCGGAGCCGGGAATGGTGTGGCTGGATCAGCACAGCACAAGGCAGCTCTGCCTCCCAAGTTTCTGGCTTCATTAGCTGCCACCAGACACTGCTCCTGCTGCTACACTGGCTGTGCTCATAGACTGCTGTGGGACATGAGGAACGTGCTGACACTTGGCACTGTGTGGACAGAGCAGTTGGGATCAGTGCTAGCTCAGGGGTGTGCTCGGGAATTCTCTGCCTGCTGGAGCCCTGCTCCTGCCATGTGGATCAGCTCTGCTAACAGGAGCTGTCTGCACTGGGATGTCTGGGGAGACATTCATACCTAAGGGTTGTAAATCAGTGCTGGTTTAGCCCTCAGAGGACAGTCTGTCTGGCCTCCAGCTGCTGCTCCTTGGCTACCTGGCCATGGGCTCTTTCTCCAAGGGTCTGTGGCAGTGATGGAAGCCAGCATGGAAACAGAGTTTCATGGATGACACAGTAATACCTGTTGTGTTTGCCAGGGATCAGTATCCTGTTGGTGCCCAGGGTCATGGTTACCCTGATGGAGACCTTAGAGACCCTTCCAGGGCCTAGAGGGGCTCCAGGAGAGCTGGAGAGGGACTGGGGACAAGGGATGGAGGGACAGGACACAGGGAATGGCTTCCCACTGCCAGAGGGCAGGGCTAGATGGGATACTGGGAAGAAATCCTTCCCTATGCGGGTAGTGAGGCCCTGGCCCAGGTTGCCCAGAGAAGCTGTGGCTGCCCCTGGATCCCTGGAAGTGTCCAAGGCCAGGTTGGACGGGGCTTGGAGCAACCTGGGCTGGTGGAAGGTGTCCCTGCCCATGGCAGGGGGTGGAACAGGATGAGCTTTAAGGTCCCTTCCCACCCAACCCATTCCATGATTCCTGTGCCTTGCTGAGCTGCCGTGTCCTACACAGCTTCTGGCTGGAAGTGAAGGTCAGCACAAGTGGGTTCAATTGCAAATAACAGCTTAGAGATCAAGACCTTTGTTGTCTGATCTTTCCCAGGCAAAGCATGTCCAAAAGTGCCATGACAGGAGGCAGTTGAAGGGTGAGACCTGCCATGTGCACAGCAATAGTGAAACATTTTTCTGTGGCAATGTCATTATCTTGAACTTTTGCAGAAAAGAAAAAAAAAAAGCAAGGTTTATCTCTAACTGTCCATCAAGAGCTGTATCTGATGAGAAGTTCCCAGAACATTTTCTCCTCTAAACCAGCTGAAGCTACACAGACCCAAGCAGTGAAGAGAGAAAGATTCAGAGATGAGCTTGCCTCTCCTTCCTGTGAGCTCAGGCCATTCTGGGAGGAGTGAGACAGGGAGGTCAGGAAATTCCTGGCTTCTCTCAGTTCACGTCAGATCCTCAGCTGTATCTTGGGGCCATTCATCCCTTCCATGAGTTATCCCTGTCTAGTGTGCAGGAAACAGTTTCCTAGTGATCTCTGAGTGCAGAGGTGAGGCCCATCACCCCACAGATCCGGGGAGGTTTAACCCTTGCGCCCTCGGATTCCCTGACAGCTCCCCCGGGGACATCCCTGGGAAGACGTGGCGCTTCCGTGCTGGCTGCCATTCCCTATATTCATACTAGCAACCAGACCCTGTGGAGAAATCCACATAAATTAAGGTTGGACAGATCTAATATCCCAGGAGGGACTGTTGGGTAGCAGCCTAGTAGGCAGAAGGAGTGTCCATGGCCTTTCTCTTCCTCAGTGGAGAATTCCAGTGCTGGAATCATACAGGGAAGTGGTTTGGATTGTGATCCAGCAATCAGAATGTCCATCATGGAAGACTACAGTGTGATTGAGGGCCCTGGAAGAGATTAGTAGGAGAGATAGCGATAATTTAGTCTTTCAGCAGGTATTTTTTAAGCATTTTTTAAAATACTCTGGAAAAATCTGTTCATTAGCCCTTTAAAAGCTAAAAGACACGCGAGGTGCAGAGCGGGCTGTGAGACAAAGAGATGGAGCTGAATGGCAAAGGTTTGAGAGTGAGCTGAGGAAAAGGCAGGGGCCTGGTGGGAGTCACTGATGTGTTGACGTGGCTTCCTGGGCACAAAAACGTGGCCGGTTTCCGCAGCAGCGCCACAGTGAGGCCCACCCGTGTCAGCTGGCTGTCCTGCCAACCAGCAGGAGCGTCCCCCACGGGTACAGAGATGAAAATCAGGAGTAGTTCCACTGATGTCAGTGTGACCACATTACTGGAAACTGATGGGATCACAGTGCTGAGCCCACAGAGCCGCCTCCGCAGAGCCAGCGAGGTCGGGAGGGGAACCGGAGACTGGAGTGTCCAACCAGCCTGCTCAGAGCACGGGAGGGGAACAGGGCTCGCGGGGCCTTGTCCACGCCGAGGATGAAGACTCCACAACCTCCCTGGACAACTTGTGCCAGTCTTTGGTTGCTCTCGTGGTAAAAAAATAAAAAGTTCGTCCTTATTTTTAAATAAAATTTCTTGTATTTCCCTGGAAGTGTCCAAGGCCAGGTTGGACGGGGCTTGGAGAAACCTGGGCTAGTGGGAGGTGTCCCTGCCCACGGCAGGGGTAGGGACTGGATGAGCTTTAAGGTCCTATCCCACCCAAACCAGTCTGTGATTCCATGATTCTGTGATTCAGTTTGTGTCCATCTCCTGTCCTTTCACTGACACTGTGATGTGTCCTGTGAACTTTGATTTTCACTGTACTTGGGGAGCATGGAGCAGCCAGCTGTCAGGGAGCAGGTGGGAATTACTGCCCTCACCAGCCCACACCTCCGCTCTTAGGGGATCAATTTAAAGAGTCACTGGCTTGATTTTTGAAGTGTCAGGAGTTTGCTGTGCTGTTGAGTCAGTGGTAGCTGCAGTTGAAATCACAGGATGCCTCAGGCACTGGGTCACTGTCATTCTGGTGAGAGTCCCCTGCACAAACTGTGTGTTGCTCTCACACCTGAGGGTCGCTCTGCCTTTTTTCAGCAGTTAAATCTTGTATCTCAGTCCTTATTCTTCCAGCTTGCTCGATGGAACTGCACTTCTTTTGACATGAATGTGCTTCTGAATTTGTCGGGGTAGTTACAAGGTACCAAACAAAACCCTCCGTGTCCCGGACAAAGGGAACATTTCTGAGGGCAGAAAATTTGCCAAGTGCCAAACCTCAGCATGGGGCAGGCTGGGGACAAAGAGGGACACAGCCGAATGCTCTTGTGCAATTTTAGCTGCTCTGCATAAGGATGCCCTGGGAAGCAAAAACCACATCAGGACAGGAGAGCTGTAAATTTGCCTCGATTTATGCTGGGAATTTTCGGCTGGAATACTTGGGGACACTGGGGATTGCAAACTGGGTCCTGATTGTGTCTATCTAAGAATAGCAGTGTGGCTGTGGTCTGCTCATGCTGTTTGGTCCACCAGTCTGCCTTGGGAAGGCTTTAATCTAAGTCTAATCTATTTTTAGCCTGATATCTCCTCCAGACAAGGCGCAGCTGTCCTGAGCTCTATGCCAGAAATTAGTAACACTTGTATGATTCACAAGTGAGCTGCGGTTCTACAGAAGAATTCGTGCTGCAAAGTGTTACTTTTTTACACGTACTGTAAAACAGGAGATTCAAAGCCACTGTGTGTTCGTGGTATGACCCAGACCCTGAACTCCTCCTGGGACTCAGAGTCAGGAGGTCGTGGATCTGTTCCTGCGTTTGCTACTTGATCTGGACTTGTCCCACCTGTCAGCATGGTCCCTGTGCAGGGTGGGCGTGCAAGAGCCTGCACCTTGTCCTACCTGCTTTTACAGCAGCTGGCTCATCCCTGGAGCTGGGGTTGTGTAAGAGGAAAAGCAGCCTTCCCGCAGTGCGGGCTCTGCCATCGGTTATTCAACTCAAGCATCCCAGTGCATGGGAAAAATTAGAACTAATCAACTTCTGGAGGCTTTGATTGTATGTTTAGTCAATGGGAGGGATTTCCTGCTTCTCACCACACCGTTGAAGAGGTTTACTTTCTGGTTCAAGTCAAATAAACATACATAGAATCTGACTTAATCTCATTTAGAGCGATGTTTCTGACGAAGAAGCTGGAGTGTTTGGTTAAGGATGGGAGCTGAAGTTGGACATGGGGTCTGTGTCCGGCTCCGAGTTCCTCCATGAACTTGTAGCTGGGCAGGGACAGGCCAGGGCATGTTGTCTTTCGTGAAATACCTCTCCCTGTTGACATCTGATTCACTCAGTAGATGAACAGTGCTTGTCTAGAGCCCTCGATGGCTTCCATGGATGTTTTCAGTCCTCATCACAGGTTCCTGTGAGGTG